ATTACAACGTATAGGATAGAATAGACAAATAGATTATTTATTTGTATCTGTAGTACACACATAACAATAAAAATAAAATAAACAGCCATAAAAAAAAAGAAATAACAAAGTTGAGCAACGAAACAGAAATCATGTGCGCGCCGCAGTAACACAAAATGGTCGGCGCTCAGTTTACTGGTTTGTCCTCAAAAAAGAAAAATACTGATTACACAGCCATAAACTAAAAGCCAGTAGCGAAATTTCTAGGTAAAAAGTAATAGAGACTTTTTCGTATCTACGATAGATTATATAGTCTTAAAAATGGGGTCAACTTTAGCTGACAAATTGTCAAATTAGCTGACTCGTTTTTTTATCAATTATCTATATAATATTAAATAATACAACAAGACACATAAAATGTATCTTGTCGTATTATTTAATAAATAAAATAAGTATTTACGCATTAAAGAGATGTAAAAGTTATAAGACAAATAAATGTACAAGTTATAAAGGAATCACTGATAACTGTTTATCACGTAAAATTATATGAAAAAGTTGACCCGTTTTTCTCGAAACATTTCTATGGAGACACTCTATCTACATATAATATTATAATCTCAACTATAAAATAATAATAAATAAAATGTTAGAAACGTGTCGAAAAAAAAGAGGTTAGTATTGTATTATCTGTGACAAGGCTGTCAATGTTCAATTAATATATGCATAATAATGAGATATGGAACAGTTAACTCGACAACTGTGATAAAAAGATCAAATCATTTTTTTATAAAATATTAAATCAATCTAGCCAGCATTCTAATTTGCTCAACCACAGATAAAGTATTACTATGCTACAGTGTTGCCAATATATAGAACATAGATAAAGTTTGACATATTGAACACTCAATGCCTCTAAAAATAATTGGTATATTTAGATACAATTTTTATACATACTCCATTAAGTAGGTATGAATTTTGTATTTACTTGATTGTCCAGAAAAGTAGTGTAATATTTTTCAGTGTTCATGTACGAATGAGTTTTTTTTATTACACCATAACTTCGAAATGCTCGAATAGATTACAAATCTGTTAGGGGTAAAATTACAATTCAAAGATTTTCTGTAATTCCTTGTTCTTAATTCAAATTCTTATATCATCCTAAATGCTATTGATTATAATTTTTTTTAATGTTTTTTTTATCCAGGCATACGTGTTTTTTTTTTCTTTTATTGGCAAAGGAAAATGTATGTAAACACTGTGACTACGATCGAAATATTTAATTTTTTATCATTATATACGATATTTATAGGTAATAAATAATAATAAATTGAATTTACAGGGTACAGAGGAATAACACCTGAGTCCTCAGGAATGGCATATATATATATATATATATATATATATATATATATATATATATATATATATATACATAGGCTTCTCTCTATTAAGGAGTTTTGCCAGTAGTTGCTACGCTTGACAGGCGGGTTGGCACCCGCAGTTAGGCTTTAGTGATTTTTTTTAATGGATAATAATGTAACGGTAACCTCACCTGCGCTAACGATATACGCTGGCGGGGCACCAGTCAGAGATGATAGGTGAGAATGAAAAGGCAAGTCAGTCCATCATGATGAATTCACTTGGAATTGAAAATGTATTGCTAGCAATGGTGATACTAATCCCCATTATTACCAATCCCTTCTCCCCCCTCTTTAGTGACGTTACCCACCCCTCAACTATTAAGTTCCCTTAGTCGCCTCTTAGGACACCTACGGAAAAGGAAGGGGTGGCCCATTATTCTGCATTTATACAAAATAGGAACTTATTTTGTAAATTATAAAGTTCACAATTACAATTTTAGAGTCATTGGTAGTTACCAAGGTACAAGGAAAACAATTTATCATGTGTTACTAGGTAAAACAGAAATTCCCTTCATTGTGTATTAGACGGAGTGGCTACTTTATCGCCATTATTTATATTAAAATGGTCAATAAATTAAGTACCTACTATAAGAACATTATTTTACATTTCATAATGTATGTAATTTATATATTTTATATATGTAGTACTCGTAATATTTTATGTATTTATTTATGTATGTATTTATAGTATGTATATGTATATTTATTCACTTAATATATTATGTATATGTTTATATTATATGAATTTTTCAAATATTGCTTTATTTTTTCTGCATTCAAAATCGCACTGCCTACGTATTTCTCGGTTTGCCCAATGGTTGACTGGTAGAGAACACGTCTTTTGTCACGTCACGTCACGTCACGTACATTTGGTGGACTTAACACCGTCCGGTGTTAAGTCCACCAAATGCACATAGTATTTTACTGTGCATTAAAGTTTAAATAAATAAATATATATGTATATACATATATAAAAGTCCACATGTATAAACTTAATAAAACAAGTTGGGATACTTTTCATCATTTCAGCCAATATTCGTCCACCCCTGGACATAAGCCTTCCCCATAGATTGCCATAAAGAACCGTCCTGCACCACCTGCATCCACTGACTCCCTGCAATGCATTTCAGGTCGTCACTCCATCTAGTAGGGTAGTCGTCCTACACTGCGTTTGCCCTTACGGAGTCGCAACTCAAGAACCTTTCTTCCCCATTGGTCCTTCGAGCTATGTGACCAGCCCATTGCCACCAGCTTGCTTATCCTTCGAGTCGATATCTTTTACGTTAGTTCTTTCGCGGATATCCTCGTTTCGGATTGTATCACGCAAAGAGACTCCGAGCATAGCCCTTTCCATATCTCGCTGAGTAATTTGAAGCTTTTGCATACGGGCAATCGTGTAGGACCATGTTTCGGTTCCATAAGTCATCACTGGCAACACGCACTGGTTAAAGAGCCTCGTCTTTTTCTGGGATAATTTTATTAGACTCGTAAAACAAAAAATATACTAAAATAAAACTTATTTTAACTATTAATGTTTTATTTTAAATAAATAGATATATTAAATAAAAAAGCACAAAGGAAACAACAATGTAGTTCTATAGCTAAAAGGTTTTATTAGACACTAGCTTTTACCCCTGACTTCGTTTGTATAAAAAATAACCTATGTCCTTCCCCATTCCATATAATATAATTATGTATAATAAATTGCATACTTATTGGTTAAACCGTCATGAGGCTAAGAGATATTTTTTTATTTTAATATTACATCTGGAATCAACAGCTTATATCTAGAATAATTATTATTATTTTTTTTTATTCATTTATTTATTCATTAAATATTATATTTACACCATACATTAATCAATTACAGATTCTCAATTTGTATACCAGACAATATTATACTTATTTTTAGAGGGTAGGTAAAATTAAATAAAAAAAAAAAAATAAGTAATGAAAAAAGTCACTTTTTTTATTATTAACAATAGTGAGAATTTTGCATTTTTGTGGCCAAAAAGACATTACAATAAACTAAAATTAAATGTATTACAAAACATGTTGGCTGCCAATCTTTCTTCTCAAAACTAAGCAGGTACAGAAAAATTTATTCGTGATATGCTTAACAAGTTTAAACCTTAAAGAATATAACTGTGTAAACAGCTTTCGATTTTTCGCGCATTACTATGTTGTTATGTAGTATGCTTGTTATAGTAATACACTAATAAATTCTCTGTAGAAAAAGACAGACCGACAACATTCAGAAATTATTATTTCGCATATATTTCAAAACACAATGGAAGCATATTGCGTTTTGCGCGAAGCCGGGACCTAACATATAGAACAAAAATTCTAAAAGAAACATTCTTTTAGTTTCTATTGTTCTTAATAAACCAATAAATATAAATTTTTGCCAAATATTTCCCATGGACAGTCATAGTTTAGATACAATTTAGTTTTATTATAATTAATTGCAAATAAATATTCATTCATTCATTCATTCATCCATTCATTCATTCATTCATATAATATTTACTGTTGTGATCTTATAAATATATCTCTTTTTTTCTACTTTATTTATCATATAATAAAATCGTAACTGGTCGCTGTCTTTACATGGAAGATATATAAGAAAAACTGTTATAGGGGGGCTTTATGAAACCAATAGAATCCAAAACAATGATTTTTGGAATTTTTATCTGTTTGTCTGTACGTTTATGCATGCTAATCTCAGAAACGGCATAATCGATTTTATTATGATTTTCATTAATGCGTTGCAGTTTACTCCCCTTAACATTTAGTTTGTTTAATTTCAAACAGGTCATAAATAAAAAAGTTATATCAATCCGGGTATGAAACCGGGTCTTGTGGCTAGTTAATAAATACAATATTAGTAAGGAAAGTAAATTTATTATACAGAGCATAATAAATTTATGACTGGAAAAAACTTCACGGATGATTGCCGTTTAAAAGAGATTTCATTTTATCCATGGCCGAAATAAAATTAATGCATGGAAAACAACTTACAGACAATACCTACATATCTACAGACATTGAGATAAGAGACACTGAGACAAGAGACGCTGGGTTCGACGCCACTCCATATATATATATATATATATATATATATATATAAAAGTTTCTAAAATTAGTGTTTGAACTTGATATCATAACGATATATTTAAGAACAAGTATAAAATTAATTCAGGATCCACAATTTTAGTAAAAGTTTTCTAAATAAGAGGTATGTTCGAACTGAATAGTTTTCCCAAAAACAACACACGATTCGTCCAATTGGAAGTCTAATAGATAATATTATTTTTGAAAAAAAAAAGAGAATTTTGTGTTTTACTGATAGAATCCTATTTTAAAAATGCTTATAATTTCAGAATTCATCCCCACTAAAATTCTTCTTTTTAGTTAATTTTTCAAAATATTTGTCCCTCCGACCCTTTTAGTAAAGTTTCGTAACTATTTGTCAAATAAGAATAAAGAATCTTAGAGTCACATATATTTTTATATCACAAAATAGACAATATAAAACTTCCTAATTGAAATAGGTAGAATAGTCAAACCACAATATAAATTAAAATAAAAAGTACTCACTCAGTTTCGTTGTTCTCGAAGATAATATGGCCATCCGCAATCTCGTACTGTGAGCCACTTTTAGCAGTCCCATCTTCCGTCCAATATGGCACCCGCACCTTTCCTCTTGCGCCAGCTGTTCTCACAACGCGCAGATCAAAAGTGCCAACTGACTCAGTCAACTCGTAATCCCTTTGGGCAAACGAGAATACACCGGAATGATCATCATCCAATATCACCACAGTAGCAGTTGACGGGGAAGCCAACGATGCTCCTTTTGGGGAACTCAATCTCACATAGAAATGCTCGTCTTCTTCAAAGACATCGTCGTCTATTACTTGAACGGAAAAAGTCTTTTCCGTTTCTCCATGTCTAAAAACTAACGAACCATTCGTGGCAACGTAGTCTGAACCAGCTTCAGCAGTTCCATCTTCTGTAGTATATTGCACAGTGATTTCTCCGTTAAGATCCCCAGCTCGTATCACCCTGACTTCAAAAGAGCCACAGTTCTCCATTACCGTATAGTGGTCAGGATCAAAACGAACATTCGGCCCTCTAGGCTCAATTGATGGTGAACTTGATTCTCGCCGCTGTAGCTCAGCTTTTACTTCGCTTAGATCACTTTGAGCTCGTTCCGATATCTTTCGGGAGAAATCTCCGCCACCAGTCATTTTTCTAGTTGCGGCAACTCTGTAAAATGCGCGTGATTTCGGGCCTCGGGACATCAAAGTCTCTAAAGCCATGCGTTCTACCGTCTCTAAATCTTCTTCTGGGTGTTGTCTTCTTAAATCTCGAAGAACTGACACATATTCTTTCCTTGACTTTTCTAATTCCCTTCCTTCTTCATCATCTATAGCAAACTCATCGCCGCTTGGTTTTAAAGCCATTTCAACTGATCCATCACCTTCTGTTTCAACTATAACTCCTCTTTCGTTGACTCTATATCCTTTCTTCAAATATTTATAGACTAGAAGGCGTCGGTCTGCGATATATGCTGTTATTACCGTCGCCGGGAAGAACAAAAAGGTCACAGCTCCCTCCCAAACCTCAACTTCACTAGGTGATATAACAGCCAGGATAAGATAGAGCCATACATAAGCAAAAACTGACCATGTAGCTGTTACGAGAAATACTCTTAGATGTTTTATTTTTCGCACTTCCCCGTCAGGTATAACTATTACACATATAGCTATTATTACAAACAAATTGTAAGCAGCAGAACCAACGATAGTTCCTGGTCCTAATTCACCAGCTTCAAAGTTCTTCCCGGCAATTTCTATAACTGAAAGTAGGATCTCGGGTGCGCTAGATCCTAAAGCCATAAGGGTCAAATTGGCGACAGTTTCATTCCATACTCTAACGACAACGATTTGCTCGCTGCCGTTACGTCGCACGCGCACCTCTTTCTCCCTCGAGGTAATGACTTCGATAGCAGCCATAAATCGATCAGAAACGATCGAGACCCCAATAAATAGATACAAGAGAGCAAAGAAGTAAACCATGCCCCGCAGGGCGATATCCATGGTGGGGACATCCTCGCGAGGGCGCCACGCGGGCAGGACGAGGCCGTCGCTGCACTGGAGCACATGCTGGGGGGTGTAGTTGCGCGGGGCGAGGCGCGCAGATGGGAGCTCGGCGCGCGCCACCACGCAGCAGGCCGCGAGCGCGGCGAGCGCGTGCCGCATGCCGCGTTAGCTGGCGCGGGCCATGGGCGGCGACCGGCGCTGCACGAGGCCGGCGCCCGACTAACGGACGGAGCGTCGCGACGCTTCGCTCCCCGCGACGCCCGCAATTTTCGCGTAGCGTGAAGGCTTTAAAGCCGCGAGTGAACCGTCTCGCACGTACCTCGCCTGCTCACTGATGGAGTTTTATTGCCGTAGCGGGCCGTAAAGTTGGCAAGTGTTAGAGGAAAAAAGGTTATTAGCTCGACGCGAGAAACTTATTAAACTTAGTTTTGAATTCGGGAACGGATATGGGATTTCCTGGCAGGGGTCTTCTTGCTATTTGTGGTTTTACAGTGAATTGTTTACTAACGATCTCTGAATGTTAGAAGCGAGTAACTACAGTTAAGAAAGCTCTTCGAGTCATTATTACTTTGTATTTTGAGCACACGCGAACTCAAACACGCAAGCGTCAGCTTAATTATTTAGCATGGCAACATTAGGAAAGAAAGAGACGTATTTAGATCCTAAGCCGCGGTGTAGAGGCAACTTGTAAGAAGCTTAATATCATACAATATTTCGCTTTGCTTTGATTGCTTAATCCATTACATAATAAGCTAAAGGCCATTTCTTCTTAGACATTTTTCAAATGCTACGTTCACCAATAATAAGACCTATAAAGTCCATAATGTATTAAATGTATTAATCAATGAAGAACCCAATACGACTACTGTAACTCCTTTAAAAGAAAAGTCGATGTTCAACAATTAAGTAACTCAAAATTAAGTAAATTTTCCGTTTTCCCCTGAAGTTGATTGGGAAAAAATGCTATTTTCTTAGTATTAGATCCACCTTTTGTATCATATACTTGAGAAGTCCATAGTTTTAATATATAAATAAATACACTCGACTTACAACAATATTACATAATACCCGAACAACAAGGTAACCACTTATCGATTCTTGGCCATTTACATTTTTATCATCTCTCAGGGAAAATATGATTAAATCATCGATTAAAAATACAAGTTATTCATATAGCTTAAAGTTCAATAACTTTACGCTAAAAGTATGTAGTATAACTATTTCTTTTAGTGAGCTTAGAATCTGATAGGGGACAAATTGTGGAGGTAATATTAGTATTTAGGCCACAAAACTAAACCTAGTCTCAATGGCTCGCTGCCAGATACTATCAATAAATCTAATTCTCGGGATTGATTCTATATGAATTGTTTACTTCATTTCATACTGTATAAATATGTTAAAGTAAATGCTGTGAATACCTTTTATAGGCATGTGCATTAATATTGTATTGTATTTAATGTTTGTTATATGTGTTATAATGCAATATGCTGTTAGTGTTCCTTTAAATAAATAAATAAATAAATATAACATCTTGTTTTGTATGATATTTTTTAGGTGTTAAGCCCAAATAATGACAGAGTTCTTGGCTCATGGGTATGTTTTTTTTATATACTAGTCTTTTTTGTACCTTCATTAATTTTATGATTTGAATGCCACTGTGTATGTGGCGACTCACCCCAATTTCGCACCAGTGCAAGATCTCGACAACAGCGCCACTTATCGCAATAAAAACTATAATATCTCTTAAATTGAAACAAATATTGCACATTTACGAATACAACATTTTATTAAAATTGTTCGATAATTTTCAGAGATTAACGTAAACTTCTAAAACGTAAGGTCCTAACGTAACGTAAAGTCCTAAAAAGAGTGAACGAGAAGAGAACATTGATTGAAATAATAAAGAATAGAAGAGGCAAAATGCTGGGCCACCTTATAGAAAAATAGAGGGCAAAAGAGGAAGTGGAAGACCGAGGATTAACTACATGGGACAGATAAAGGAAACACTAGGCGTTATGTCGTATAGGGAGATAAAGGATATGGCCTGGGATAGAGCTGGCTGGAGGAAGATGCATGAATTAGTTGCACCGACAAGAGGAAACTCTTAAATGAAAAGAAGAACGTAAACTAACATCATAATAGGGGATTCTTATTTATTATTTACTATATTTACAAATTTCATGTTCACTGCTAAATGCGTATCTCTCCACAAACAGTCAAAACGAACGGTCTAGTCTGTCATTCATCGAATGTGGAAGACACAAAACTTTATGTCTTTACCGGCTCATTTTTCTTTAAGAAAAATGTTAATTTCATTGATAGAATGTTCCCTTAAAAGAACGCCATTAATTTCGACTTTACCCGTATAACCTACCTATGAAATCAATCAATCGTATTCCATTGCTGGGCAATCATAATTTCAGTCATCATGCGTCCACTGCTGGACATAAGCCTTAGACTATCATAAAGAACGGTCCTGAGCCACTTGCATCCACTGACTCCCTACAATGTATTTGAGGTCATCACTCCCTCTAATGGAGAGTCGTCCGACATTGCATTTACCCGTACACAGTCGCCACTCAAGAACCTTTCTTCCCCATCGGTTGCCAGTTCTTCAAGCTTGTTTGCTGGGCAATAGCCGCTAGTAAACTGTACAACCCGCCACAAACTAAAGTTTCATCCCAATCATCTGGACGAGTGGCGGTCTTCCACCGTGCGTTTTTCAAGGCACTTTCTTCCACGCACAACCATTCTTTGGAATCAACTTCCAGCAGCAGTATTTCCGAACCGATACGACAACATAACCTTCAAGAAAAGAATATATTCCTTTTTAAAAGGCCGGCAGCACACCTGCAATGCCGCTGGTGTTGTGGGTGATCATGGGCGGCGGTAGTCACTTACCATCAGGTGAGCCGCATGCTCGTTTGCCCTCAGCGATGTAAAAAAAAAACAAAACCTTAGTCTTTGTGGAACCGGTTAAGATCGTCTCACAATCGCATACGAAGTCTTTATTACAATAATATTTCTATTACACATTTACGGTCTCAGATTGAACGCCACGGGTTCATTACATTAAGTAATATAGAGAAATACGATCAATCTAACCCTAATTACGGCCACTGTGTCACAAAAACGTATCGGTAATAATATTTTTCTAGTATCTGTAATTGACAGGGAAACAATTATCGAGAAATGTATACACATTTCTTAACGAGAAATTATTGAGTGCATTTTAATATACAGCAGTATAATGGACATTTATTTAAGATTGAATTTTACAAAAAACAAACTGACTAAATCGAAACCAGTTTTTAGTCAAAAACTAAACTACAGAATTTATTTTTGATAATATTTCTACACGACCAATCTGGAAGTTTATTCTTTTAGTTACGTAATAATTTTCCAAATTGGTTTATAAATGACAGAATTGTGAGGTAACAAACAAAAACAAATAAAAGCGAATTGAAAACGTCCTACTTTTTTGAAGTCGATTGCAAACGAACACATTTCGTTTCGTAAAAAACAGAATCGTATATCTACAGTACGTAGCTGTGTTTTGTTTTTTTTTTTTTGATGGGTGAAAATGAAATGGTAGCCCCACCTGCGCTAATGGGATACGCTGGCGGAGCACCAGTGAAGGGTGATAGATGAGAATGAAAACAGGTCAGTTAGCCCAGGGGGAACCGCGAGAAGGTCGACCTGGTTGGGTATATTGCTAGCAATGAGATTCTTAGTCTTCATCACTAACAATCTCTTTCTTCCACGTAGCTGTGTTGAATGGTTGTATTTGAGTTTAAAGGGTATGTGATAATAAAATTACAAACAGGAATTCGGTCTCTTATAGTCTATGATCTAGTAAAATATGTATCTAGAATTGTCAATGATTTACTCTTTTCTGCTCGCGCCTGATAAAGCGAGCGTGTCTCTGTAATTTTGTTTCAACTATTCAATAAAGTGTAAAAATAAAATGCACTTTGATATTGTAACTTTCAGTGTGTTAAAGTGGAATCGCCACTTCCTTATCCGCGGGTGTTATAAGGGACGATTAAGGGAGGGCGACATATAGACAGCAGCGTCCCTCTTAAAACAACACCAAAGCCTAATTGCGGTTGCCAATTCGCCTGCCAAGCGTGGTAACTGCTAGCAAACTCCCCCCCCCCCTTTCGCATAAATCCATAAAATATTGATCAAACAGTCCCATCAAAATACGCCATAATTAGTTCCCCTTGACTGATTCGCACAAATACAATAACTCATTGTAATAGCTCACCCGGCCCGACAAGCAATCTCAGGGTTCATTACAAGGATGACGTGACAGTAACATCAGTATATGTATATCAAAATTATTAGCGTACAACGCTCGGTGAAATGTACATCATTAGTTATATATATATATATATATATATATATATATATATATATATATATATATATATATATATATATATATATATATTCTTTATTGCACTTGTAAATTATATTGTTAATGCATTTATAAATATTGCGAGCAAGGGTGGACTTATCTCTGACAGAGATCTTTTCCAGTCTACCCAATGCAGTTAGAAAACATGTTGTTAGCGGGCAGCTGAAGTGCTACAACTATTAATATTTAGTGTACATAAACAAATATACAGTTAAATAAAAATATATATTAAGATATATTAAGATACATAATAAAATATTACATAAATTCACTGCCATATATATATATATATATATATATATATATATATATATATATATATATATATATATATATATATATATATATATAGTGAATTTACAGGGTACAGAGGAATAACACCTGAGTCCTCAGGAATGGCAACGCATGGGGGGTATCATGGGCGAAACAGTATACTCTGTGATGTCCATGGTACTGCTCACGTCTATAGGCGAGGGTTTCCACTTCCCATCACTCCACATCCCGTCAGCTTGTTTGCCATTCAAAGTTACATAAAAAAAAAGTTAAAAAATAAAACTTACTTAAGTAATATAAATGAAAATATACGTTCCCTAAATGAATAATATTAATTAAGGAGGATTCATTGTAGACTGCATACATTAAATTGCAAATTCTCAGACGAGAACACTTCATTTAATAAGTCTAAATTACAGTGCAATGTTTGTAATACTCGTATTGTACTTCATTCAAAGGTTAAATGGATACGTAACGTAATCAAGACTATTAAAACAACGACTAGACACATAAAGAACACTAATTACTAATTTTAACTAGATAGTAGCATTTATTTTAACTATTCAAGTAAAGTTTATGAACAAAATAAATTTTCATGGTATTGTGTGTAGTCCCGGCATAGAATGGGCTATCCCTTCTTTTTTTTTTTTGT